CTAGGCATTAGTATTTTTTAACCTTAAATGAATAGCTAGGTCTGAGAACCACTTGCCTAGAATTCCCTAATCTTATTTAATTCGTTCACCCTTCAAAACTCATACTGAATCTTCTCCAATACATCTTCCTAAATGCAAAGTTCCCACTTGAGCTCCAGTGGGAACTTCAGCAACCTGGGCACACCTTATTTCTGTAATTAGAACATCATATTAAGATTATCCAATTTATATCTTTTTTTTTTTTTTTTTTTTTTTTAAGAGATGGAGTCTTGCTCTGTTGCCCTGGCTGGAGTTCAGTGGCACAATCTTGGCTCACTGCAACATCCATCCACCTCCCATGTTCAAGCAATTCTCCTGCCTTGCCCTTCCAAGTAGCTGGGATTACAGGCATGTGCCACCATGCCTGGCTAATTTTTGTATTTTTAGTAAAAGACAGGGTTTTGGTATGTTGGACAGGCTGGTCTCAAGCTCCTGACCTCATGAACCACCCACTTCAGCCTCCCAAAGTGCTGGGATTACAGGAGTGAGCCACCATGCCCAGCCTTCATATCTATTTTCAAACCACAGTGTGATTTCCTGGAACACAGGAACTGGACTGGAATCATCTCATACCCCCAGCACTTAACATAGACCCTGCCATCATGCGTCAAGGTATATACCCAATAAATACTTACTGATCTCAACAGAGAAAAGACCACTTGATTAAAAATTAAGAAACCATTGATGACCTTTGAGAAAGAGTAGAAGAAATGACCATTGTTGTATGTTGAGAAGTGAATGAGAAAGTAAGTTTGGGAGGCATTGTCCTGAACTGTGAACTAGACAGGCAAAGGATCGTGGTTCAGAGAATGTTTGAGATTAAAAACAGCAAGTTTTGTAGCATTGGAAAAGTCATCATTAGAAAGGGAAAATGCGTTTCAGCAGAAAAGGAAAAGTATTTTAGTCAGGATTCAAAACTGGGAGATGGAGGTGGAGAAAAGAGTACAGGTGTACAAAATGTCAAATATGTTATTTCTATGTGGTAGGATTTGGGTGGCATGTTTTTTCACTCCAGCAGGTTTTCACTATTTGTCAAATGAATAGATTTTCCGTGCATAAGTGAATGCATGTATTTTCTTCACAGGTGCAGGATTGAGTTCATCACACAGTTTAAGGCACAATATCACCATAGGTCTGTTAAGCCTCCTCCAATTTTTCCTGACATCTCAATACATACTCCAAATTTTTGCTAATGTGTTAAATCAATGTCATTAGATATGTAAGTATCCATGAAAGATGCACAGTATTGCTTTGTGTGTTTTCAGATTACAAAATATTTTGCTATGGATCTCATTCTGCTTCCTTTTCTACCCGACCCTATGATCTTAAAATCTAAATGTGTCATTGTATGTATATTTAGCTTATAGCTCCTAATTGCTGCATAATATATAATACCATTGTAGACATATCCCCCATTTTATTCACCCATTCTCTCTCTCTCTCTTTTTTTTTTTTTTTTTTTTTGAGATGGAGTCTTGCTCTGTCACCAGGTTGGAGTGCAGTGGCACAATGTCGGCTCATTGCAACTTCCACCTCCTGGTTCAAGTGATTCTCCTGCCTCAGCCTCCCAAGTAGCTGGGATTACTGCCACATGCTACCGTGCCTGGCTTAGTTTTGTATTTTTAGTGGAGATGAGATTTAACCATGTTGGCCAGGCTGGTCTCAAACTCCTGACCTAAAGTGATCTGCGCACCTCAGCCTCCCAAAGTGCTGGGATTACAGGCATGAGTCACTGCACTCTACCTATATTCATCCATTCTCTTATTGATGAATACACAAGTTACCTCCAACTTTCTACTGACACAAAAAATGTTTCATTGAATAACCTCATACATGTCCCTACATGGACCTGAGAGTTTCTTAGAGCAGGCATCCAGAAAGGGAACTGTTAAATCATAGGCTAGTCACACACTTAATTTCACTAGGTACCGTCAAATCTCTCTCCAGAGCAAATTGGCCAGCTTTACTCCAACCCCTGCACATGAGAATTCTGTTAACTCTGGTACCAATTAGCACTAGTAGATCTCTTAGTAATTTTTTCCAAGCTTATGGATGTAATGTGCTACTTCATCGTTGTTCTCTTGTTTTTATTATTTTGGGGGTTTAATGATTTATTCACATATTTGTTAACTGTATGTGTTAGTAAATTGACTTCTCATATTTTTGCCCATATTTCTATTTTTCTTCCTCTCCTCCTCCTCTTCTTCCTCCTTTTTTCCTCTTTTTCTTTTCCTTTCTCCTCTCTCTTTCTGCATGGGTATGTGTATGCCATCTTCTCTAAACATTAAAAGTAATTTCTTCTACTCCATCAACCCTCTGCCAACTTTGCCCATTGAATATGTCACTGAACTAAAATCCTTGATACTGATATATTAATATTAGAAATCATTCATCTTTATCCTATGGCTTCTGCTCTGGGGATCTTGTTTAAGAAAGCTTGGCTGGGTGCAGTGGCTCACCAATGATGCCAGCACTTTGGAAAGTCAAGGTGGGAGGATCACTTGAGCCCAAGAGTTCAAGACCAGCCTGGGCAACATAATGAAACCCTCTCTCTACAAAATTTTTAAAAAATATTAGCCAGGTGTGGTGACAAGTATCTGTATTTCTAGCCACTCAGGAAACTGAGGTGGGAGGATTGCTTGAGTCCAGGAGGTCAAGGCTGCAGTGAGCCATGATCGTGCCACTGTACTCCAGCCTGGGCAAAGAGAAGACCTTGTATCTATTTTTTAAAAAAGGAAAAAAATTCTTTCCCACTGCAAGATTACCATAATATTTGCCTATAGTTTTTCTATTAACTCCTTAGTTTTGCTTTTGCAATTAGTCATTAATCCCTCTGGAGTTCATCTTTGTATGTAGTATGAGGTAGAAATTCAACTTTTTTTTTCTATATAATAATATAGTTTGCCCACAACTTTCTGCTAAAAATTCATCTTTTCTTCATTGATATATAATGCTATGCCAATCATGTGGAATGAAGTATATTAGACGGGTAAGTAAAGGTATGTGGCTGTGTGTGAGTCCTATGCTATTTACCCTGTGGCACTGGAGTTTTGTTCTTGTGCCAGTATCTCATCATTTATGATGAAGGCTTTATAAAAAACTTCAATATTAATAAAGGGTGAGTCCAACCTCTCCCACTGCATTTGGTCTTTTAAAACAATTTTTAAAGCTATTTTATAGATTATACTTCCATGAAAATTCCAGTCACTTGTTGAGTATCCCAAAAGATTCTATTAGATTTTCTTATTGGAATTTCCTTGACTGACCACACTCACCCAAGCAGAACTGACATCTTTACAAATGTTAAATCATGCCATCCATAAACTCAGCCATTCATATTTTCTTATGATCCTTAATAAAGTTTTAGATTTTTTTCCATAAAGGTTCTGTACATTCTTGATAAGGTTAATTACTACATACTTTAGGCATCTTGTTGCCAATGTGATTTGTATGTTATTTTTACATTTTCTAGAAAATCATTGCTGAGATAAAGAAATGCTATATATTGACTTCTTAACTATTTTCTGCTTTGTATTTAATCAGCATGGATTGCTTTTCCAAAAAGATTTTATGAAACGAAAGGAAAAAGGAAACACAGATGAAAAGTTTGCCTTTACAAAGAAACAAGGCTTATCTCTCCCTCTAAAATAAGAAGGAATGCAATAAGAAAGGTTAACGATACAGAAAAATGTAGTTGATTAAGTGGAGGAAGTTCACTCCTTAAGTTAAGGTAGTCCTGAGAGGCTTAAACCTCATCCCTTGAAGAGGAAAATTCTTTCCTGTTTAGTTATTATTGGATCAGGGAGTTAACTAGAGAAGCAACCCTTTTCAAAAATGATTACAAAGACCGGGTACAGTGGCTCACACCTGTAATCCCAATATGCTGGGAGCATCACTTGAGCCCAGGAGTTCAAGACTAGCAACATAGTGAGACTCTGTCTCTACAAAAAATAAAATAAAATAAAAAATGGTTATATAAACCAGAATTGAAGAGCCAAGCCTTTACAGCAAAAAGAAAACAAAGATCAGAATAAAATCTAACAATATAGCCTCCACCTACTTCCTTGTGTATAAAAAAGATGAGTCTGTACTAAATAATTCTAAAACTTCCCTTTGTCTCAAATCTCTGAAAATAGTCTTTTTAGAAAATGAACAAGAGGGGGTAATAATTTTGTGTGAATTAATCTCCACTATTGACTTTTCTATCATTTTCTTTGTCAAAAAGGCTTTGAGAACAATTCTTTTTTTCTTTCTTTCTTTCTTTTTTTTTTTTAGATGGGTTTTGCTCTTTTGCCCAGCCTGGAGTGCAGTGGCAACATCACAGCTCACTGCAGCCTCACCCTCCCAGGCTCCAGTAATCTTTCAACCTCAGCCTTCCAAGAAGCTGGGAATACAGTCATGTCAGACCTAGCTAATTTTTTAATTTTTTGTAGAGACAAGATCTCACTATGCTGCCCAGGCTGGTCTTGAATTCCTGGGCTCAAGTGGTCTGTCCACCTCAGCCTCCCAAAGTGCTAGGATTATAGGCATGAGCCTCTGCACCTGACCAAGAACAGTTATTCGTTAAAGGAACTTGAGGGGACTAAGTGTAGTCTACATAAGTGCACAGATACAATTCGGGAATGGAAATTTTTGGAGAGGAATTATTTTCACCATTGTCATTTTGGTTAGTTACTGAACTGGCTCTTTCCCTGTCATCAGCTCTCCCACTCCCCAACCCCCCACTCAAATACTGAAGCTCTTTTCAACTAGGCCCACGTGTTTTAAGTGTTTCCTAGTTTGGGAAGAGAAGAAAAAGAGGGAGAAATGAAACTTCTGGAGTTGCATTGCTAAAGGAAGCTCGTCCTTTCAGACACTTTTCTACCAAATTTTTACTCAAAGTTCCTCTTTTGAAGGCTAAGAGAGAGTATTTTTATATTCAGATAAAAAATATATTTGAGACAACATGCAAAATCCAGCACCTGAGTATCTTGCGTAAGAGATGTATTTCTTCACTTAGATGAAGTTCATTTCTCCATCTACACACCAAGTCCAATTTCTTCCCCAGCATTTCTAGGATACCTGGGAAAGAAACCAGTGTTGTACTTTTAAAGAATAGCAGATCTTAAAATCAAATGATCATCTCAAAATGCAAAAATATGGATTAGAAGTAAGTGGAGGTATAATAAATTTCTTTAAAATGAATAAAAGACTACTGTTAATATCATAAAATTGCAAATAGTCTAAGTCTCATGTGCCATCAACATGAATCAAATAAAGATTCTGAGTCATCAAATAAAGATTCATCAATCATTTAAAAGAATAATGTATCACTGATTATTAGAGAAATGTAAGTCAAAGCTACAATGAGATACATCTCACATCAGTCAGAATGGCTATTATTAAAACGACAAAAAATAAGAAGTGCTGATGAGGTTGGGGAGAAAACGGAACACTTATGCACCGTTGGTGGGAGTGTTTTCCACAACCATTGTGGAAAACCGTGTGACTATTCCTTGAAGACCTAAAAACAGAACCATCATTCAACTCAGCAATCCCATTACTGGGTATATCCCCAAAGAAAAATAAATTGTTGTATCATAAAGACAAATACACACATATGTTCATTGAAGCACTGTTCATAATAACAAAGACAGGGAATCAACCTAAATGCCCATCAAGGACAGACTGGATAAAGAAAATGCGGGCTGAGCATGGTGGCTCATGCCTGTAGTCCCAGCACTTTGGAAGACTGAGGCAGGTGGATCACTTGAGGTCAGGAGTTCAAGACAAACCTGGCCAACATAGTGAAACCCCGTCTTTACTAAAAATACAAAAATTAGCTGAGCATGGTGGTGGTTGCCTGTAATCTCAGCCATTCAGGAGGTTAAGGCAGGAGAATCGCTTCATCCTAGGAGGTGGAGGTTGCAGTGAGCCAAGGTTGCACCACTGCACTCCAGCCTGGGCAACAAGCAAGACTCCATCTCAAAAAAAAAGAAAGAAAGAAAGAAAAACAGAAAATGCTATACAAACACACCATGGAATAGTTTGCAGCCATAAAAAGAATGAGATCACGTCCTTGGCAGGAACATGGACAGTGCTGAAGGCTATCATCCTTAGCAAACTAACACAGGAACAGAAACCCAAATAACTCATGTTTTTACTTATAAGTGGAAGCTAAATTATGAGAATGCCTTGTGAACATATAAAGAGAACAATAGACACTGGGGCCTATCAGAGGGTGGTGATGGGGGAGGAGAGAGGGGACCAAGAAAAATAATGAGTACTAGACTTAATACGTGGGTGACAAAATCTGTATAACAAACCCCCATAACACTTTTACCTATGCAATAAACCTGCATATGTACTCCTAACCTTAAAAGAAAAGTTTAAAGAAAGTAATAAAATACAGAATATTGTAGGTGCATATTTATTGATGTGAAAAGATCCCCAGGAGAGAAGTGAGAAAAACGATCTTCATCAAGTGTGATAATTAAAATACAAAAGATCATGCACAACTTTCACCCACTCCAGTAAGAAGACACACACACATACACAGACAAAAGCCTGAAAGTTCATATTTTTAAAGTTATTTTAACAATGTGTGACAATTAAAATACAAAAGATCATGCACAACTTTCACCTACTCCAGTAAGAAGACACACACACATACACAGACAAAAGCCTGAAAGTTCATATTTTTTAAGTTATTTTAACAATGTGCCTCTTCTGGACAAAGGAAACTGGTGATTTTTGCTTCTTTTTTCTTTTATATATCTATATCTTCTAATTTTGTATAACAATTTTTTTTTGAGACATGGTCTCATACTGTCAGCTAGGATGGAGTACAGTGGCATGAATCCAGCTCACTGCAACCTCCACCTCCCAGGCTCAAGTGATCCTCCCAACTCAGCCTCCCTGGTAGCTGGGATTACAGGTGCACACCACCATTCCTGGCTAATTTTTTGCATTTTTGGTGTAGAGATGTGGTTTTGCCATGTTGGTCAGGCTGGTCTCAAACTCCTGAGCTCAGGTAATTCACCTGCCTCAACCTCCCAAAGTGCTGGGATTACAGGTGTGAGCCACCTCGCCCAGCCTTATGTCTTGAGTGTGTTGGTAGTTATACAATTGTATATATTTGCCGATCTGAGGTACACCTAAAATGGGTGAGTTTTACTGTGTGTAAACCATAACCTAATATAGCTGTTTTTACAAAGCATGCTACAGAACTTAAGAAAAAACATTGTCAAAGTATGTGGAAATATAAGATGAAAAGCTTTATGGAAATACAAAGAATTTTTCTTTAGTGCTTATCTTTTAAAACAAAACAAAGTACAAAGAAACAACTTTAGAATATATTCAGCTAATGACAAATTTCCTTTTAGAAAAGGAGAAGTGGGTGTAAGCAAGGAGACAAAGAAATAACTGTTATCTGTTCCATTGATTTATTTTAGCTATGTTAAATTTTATAGAATAGTTCAGGGGTAAACACATATCCCGTAGGTTGTTTTAATACTGTTCTCTGCCAAATACTTAGAAAATAGAGGGAGAAAAAAACTTCCTCATCTCCAGTACAAAACTCTACCCATGGAAATCTTGCAAAACAACCATCCAACATTAAATATCTGAAAAATCTTCAAGTTCACATTTATGCTTCCAATGACACTTTGTAAAAACTGAATCTAAGAGGATTTTACTCTGTTTTTTTAATTATTATTATTATTTATTATTTATTTTTAGAGGCAGAGTCTTGCTCTGTTGCCCAGGCTGGAGTATAGTAATATGACCATTGCTCACTGCAGCCTCAAACTCCTGGGCTAAAGTGATCCTCCCCACCAGCCACCTGAGTTGCTAGAACCACAGACATGCACCACAAGGGGATCTCACTATGTTGCCCAGGCTGATCTCTAACTCCTAGGCTTAAGCAATCCTCCGGCCTTGGCCTCCCAAAGTGTTGGGAGGTGTGAGCCACCATGCCTGACCTAAGGGTTGTTAATTAATTGCATGATAATGTATGCTAATAAGCGGTAGTTACAGTCACAAGGTTGTTTAAAAAATAATGAGTGGTAGAGCCAGACTCTATTGTCTGATGGAGCCTGAATGCCTGGTCATCACCCTATCCTGCCACAAAGAGAAGCTCCCTGCAAACAAGTAGACAGTAAAAGTCAATGAAGGGATGGTAGCTATGGAGGAGGAAGTCCTCTGGAAATAAGAAGTGGTAAACATGATGGGCACACAGGGAGGAGGAACCTGATGGAGAAACGGCAAGGAGCTGAAGTCAGGTCTTCCTTTCATAGCTGTGGCCCGGCTGGCCTCTGGTGCCCCTTTCCATGGACATGGGGGAAGGGTGCCCACATGACACAATTGGGACTGTGTTCAGGGGGACTGTTTATCTCAGTCATGGATAAGACATTTGTGTGCTGACTCTGAATCTCTGTGCTGAGGAGTAATTAGCAACCCTAACTGTTAAACTACTCTGTATTCAGCAGACCATTGACTAAACTGAAAAACAAAAATAACAAAAGGCTGGGCATCGTGGCTCATGCCTATAATTCCGGCACTTTGGGAGGTTGAGGTGGATGGATCACCTGAAGTCAGGAGTTTGAGACCAGCCTGGCCAACACAGTGAAACCTGTCTATAAAAATACAAAATTAACCGCACTTGGTGACACATGCCTTTAATCCCAGCTACTTAGGAGGCTGAGACATGAAAACTGCTTGAACCCAGGAGGTGGAAGTTTCAGTGAGCCAAGATCGTGCTACTGCACTCCAGCCTGGGTGACAAAGTGAGACACTGCCTCAAAAAAGACCAAAAAAAAAGGACCACCAAAAAGGAATGCCATTAATTTTTATATGTTGATTTTTCATCCTGCAAGTTTACTGATTCATTAATCAATTCTAGGAGGTTTTTTTGGTTGAAGCTTTAGATTTCTCTCTATATAAGATCATGTCATCTGCAAAAAAAAAAAAAAAAAAAATGGCTTTTTCTTTTCCAATCTGGATGCCTTTTATTCCTTTCTCTTATTTGATTGCTCTGGCTAGGACTTCCAGTGCTATGTTCAGTAAGAGTGGTAAAAGTGGGCATCCTCACCTGGGCAACAGAGCAAGACTTTGTCTCAAAAAAGGCAGCCTTGTCTAATTCCACTTTTTAGAGAAAAGCCTGTCAGCTTTTCCCCATTCGCTATGATGTTAGTATGATGCATTTGCCTTATACGGCCTTGATTATGTTGCGGAATGTTTCTTCTATGTTCCTAATTTGAGAGTTTATATCATGTAAGGATTTGAATTTTATCAAATGCTTTATCTTTGTATATTGAGATGATCATATGGTTTTAGTCCTTCATTCTGTCGATGTGATGTAGTACATTTATTCATTTGCATATGTTGAACCATCTTTATGTCTCTGGGATAAATCTCATTTGATCATGGCATATTATCTATTTGATGTGTTGTTGGCTTCAGTGTGCTAGCATTTTATCCAGAATTTTTGCATCTATGTTCGTCAGAGATGTTGGCCTGTAGGGTTTTTGTTGTGTGTGTCCTTGTCAGGTTTTGGTCTGAAGCTGGTATCACTCTGATACCAAAACCAAACAAAGACGGCTTGGTAAATAATATCACCAATATCCTTCATGCATATAAATACTGAAATCCTTAATAAAATAGTAGGACAGAGAATTTGGCATCATATAAAAGAAATTATACAACATGGCCCAGTGGGGTTTATTCCTGGCATGTAAATATGATTCAACATTCAAAAATCAGCCAGTGTAATCTACTATAGTGACAGACTGAGGAAGAAAAAATCACAGGATTATATCAATGAAGGCAGAAAAATATTTGATAATATTTAGAACTCAATAAGTAAAATTCTCATAAAAATAAAAATAGAAGAGAACTTCCTCAAGAAAATAAAGAGCATACACATAAGAGCCTATAGCTAGCATCATACTAAAGGTGAAAACTGAATATTTTCCCCTTAAGATCGGTAAGGAGACCAGAATGTCTTTCTCCTCTCACCATCTTTATTCATGACAACACAAGCTGCAAGTTCTACTCAGGTCAATAAGACAAGAAAAAGAAATGAAAGACATCCAAATCAAAAGGAAAAAACAAAACTATCCCTGTTTATATATAATATGATTGTCAATGTAGAAAACATTAAGAAATCTTTAAAAAAAAAAACCCTCCTAGAATAAGTGAGTTCAGTAAATACGCTAGATATAAGATAAATATGCAAAAATTAATCGTATTTCTATATAAATGCAATGAATATATAGACACTGAAATTAAAAATACAATACCATTTTAAATTGTTCCCCAAAAAAGGAAATAAGTATAAGTCTAACAAAAATGTATGGGACTTACATGCTGAAAACTACAAAATGCTGAGGAAAGTAACTTTAAAGAAGATCTAGGCTGAGCATGGTGGCTCACGCATGCAATCTCAGCACTTTGAGAGGCCATAGTGGGAGTATTGCTTGAGGCCAGAAGTTCAAGGCCGGCCTGGACAACATAGCAGGACTCTGCTCCTAAAAAAAAAGAAAGAATAATAAGAAGAATAGCTAAACAAGTTGAGATATACTGTGTTCATGGATTGCAAGATTTAATATAGTAAATTTATCATTATCCACAAACTGATATACACGTTTAATACAATTCCTATCAAAATCTCAGCAAGATTTTATTAATATAGACAAAACTATTTTAAAATGTATATGCAAAAGCAAAGGAACTAGAATAGCTGAAATAATTGTAAAAAATAAAAAAGTAGAAAAATTTAGGAGGAATCATTCTATCCAATTTCAATATTTATATGGCTATAGTCATCAAGATTGTGTGGTATTGGCTGAAGGATAGAGTCGTCAATCAATGGAAATGAAAAGAGAACCCAGAAATAGACCCACACAAATATACACAATAAATTGTTTTTATTGATACAAAATATTTGTGTGTATTTATGGGGTACATATGATATTTTGTTACGTGTAGTTATCAAGTCAGGGCATTCACTATAAATTTGTACAAAGTTGCAAGCATAATTAAATGAAGGTAGCCTTTTCAACCAATGATGATGGAGCGATTGAATATATATTCACAAGCAAAAAATAAACCTCAACATAACCTCAGACTTCGTATAATAATTAAACCTCAAATGTATCATGGATGTAAGTTTATATATAATGTAAAACTATAACACATTTGGGAAAAAACATAGTAAAAAAATCTTCTGGATCTAGAACTCAGCAAGGAGTTTTTAGACACAAAAAGTATGATCTGTAAAAGGAAAAAATTGAGGTACATCAAAGTTAAAACTTTTCTCTGCAAGAGACTATTAAAATGATAGGACGGATATGGTGGCTCACACCTGTAATACCAGCACTTTGAGGAACTGAGGTGGGCAGATCACCTGAGGTCAGGAGTTCGAGACTAGCCTGGCCAACATGGTGAAACCTCATCTCTACTAAAAATACAAAAAAATTAGCTGGTCATGATGGCTCACACCTGTAATCCCAGCTACTCAGGAGGGAGGCATAAGACTTGCTTGAACCCAGGAGGTGGAGGTTGCAGTGAGCCAAGATCCCACCACTACACTGAACCCTGGGTGACACAGTGAGTCTCTGTGAAAGAAAGAAAGGAAGAAAGAAAGAAAAAGAAGAAAGAAAGATAGAGAAAAAGAAAAAGAAAGAAAGAAAGAGAAAGGAAGGAAGGAAGGAAGGAAGGAAGGAAGGAAGGAAGGAAGGAAGGAAGGAAGGAAGGAAGAGGTGGGGGGAGGAGAGGGAAGAGGAGGGGAGGGAAGGGGAGGGGACGGAGGGAGAGAGGACGGAAAAAAAGAAAGAAAGGCTACAAACTGGAAGAAAATATTTGTAAACCACATATCCAGCAAAGAACTAAATCTACAGACTACATAAAAGAACACATGTAGTATACATAAAGAACTCAAAACTCAACTGTTTTTAAAAAATCTAGTTAGAAAAGACATAAATCGAAATTTCATTGCAAAGGATGTACAGGTGGCAAATGAGCACATGGAAAAATACTTAAAAATACCATTGTTAGCCATTAGAAAAATGCAAGTTAAGGCTGGGAGCAGTGGCTCACACCTATAATTCCAGCACCTTGGGGAGGCCGAGGTGGGCAGATTGCTTGAGCCCAGGAGTTCGAGACCAGCCTCGGCAACATGGCAAAACCTCATCTCTACAAAAAGTACAAAAAAAATTAACCGGGTGTGGTGACATGCACCTGTAGGCCCAGCTACTTGGGAGGCTGAGTCGGGAGGGTGGCTTGAGCCCTGGAGGTGGAGGTTACAGTGAGCTGAGATTGTGTCACTGTACTCCAGTCTGGATAGCATAGTGAGAACCTGTATCTACAAAAATAAAATTAAATTAAAATAAATATACAAAAAATTGCAAGTTAAAACTGCAATTAAGTAACACAACACATCCATCAGAGATTGGCAAAATTTAAAAATAGTAACAATATCAAATGCTGACAAGTGTCCAGAAACACCATATCACCCACACTTGCTAATGGAAATGTAAAGGGTGGCACCATTCTGGAAAATTGTTGGTAGTTTCTTAAAAATCTAATGCACAAGTAGATCCAAAATCAATCATTAAGTAACAAAACAAGTTACAGAACAATAGGCATAATTTGATCTTCTTTTAAGATTTTATTTCAATAGTGTTGGGGGAACTGGTGGTGTTTGGTCACATGGAAAAGTTCCTCTGTGGTGATTTCTGAGATTTTGGCACACTCATCACCTGAACATATACACTGTACCCAGTGTATAGCCTTTTATTCCTCATCCTCCTCCCACTCCTCCCGCCCAAGTCCCCAGAGTCCATTATATCATTCTTACACCTTTGCATCTTCACAGCTTAGCTCCCACTTATAGGTGAGAACATATGATGTTTGGTTTTCCATTCCTGAGTTACTTTGCTTAGAATAACAGTTGCTGTGAATACCATTATTTTATTCCTTTTTATGGCTGAGTAGTATTCCATGTGGTATATTCCAGTGTGGTATATATCCCATAAAGAAAATATATACCACATTTTCTTTATCTAACTTGTTGGCTGATGAGCATTTAGGCTGGTTCCATATTTTTGCAATTGTGAATAGTTCTGCTATAAACATGCATCATTTTCCTCTGGGCAGATACCCAGTAATGGGATTGCTGGATGAAATGGTAGTTCTACTTTTAGTTCTTTATGGAATCTCCACAGTTTTCCATAGTGGTTACACTAGTTTACATTCCCACAAACAGTATAGACCTGTGCCCTTTTCACCACATCCACACCAACATCTGTTATTTTTTATTTTTTAATTATGACCATTTTTGCAGAAGTAAGGTTGATCTTATTTTTTATTTTTTTGCTTTTTCTATAAGATGGAGTCTCACTCTGTTGCCAGGCTGGAATGCAGTGGCATGATCTCGGCTCACTGCAATCTCTGCCTCCTGGGTTCAAGCGATTTTCCTGTCTCAGCCTCATGAGTAGCTGAGACTACAGGTGTGTGCCACCACACCCTGATAATTTTTGTATTTTTAGTAGAGACAGGGTTTCACCATGTTAGCCAGGATGGTCTCGATCTCTTAACCTTGTGATCTGCCTGCGTCAGCCTCCCAAGGTTCTGGGATTACAGGCATGATGATCTTATATTTTAAAGCACAACACAAAATAAAAGGTATATGGGTATTTATATTTGTATTTGCTTAGAAAAAGCTGTGGAAGCAACCATGAATAGCAGTAATCTCTTCACTATGGAAAATGAAAGGAGATTGAGGAAAACACATTTTCCAAATGTTATCAGATGTAGTCTCTATAGCAGCACTATACAATAAAACATTTTGTGATGCAGAATTAGAAAAAATTATTTCAAAATTCATATAGAACCAAAAAGGAGTCCATATAGTCAAGACAATCCTAAACAAAAAGACCAAAGCTGGAGGTATCACCCAACCAAATTTCAAACTATACTGTAAAGCTACAATAATCAAAACAGCATGGTACTCATACAAAAACAGCACATAGACCAATGGTACAGAGTAAAGAACTCAGAAATAAGATCACACATCTACAACCATCTGATCTTCAATACACCTGACAAAAACAAGCAATAAGGAAATTGTTCCCTATCTGTGGTATATATTTTATTTATAGAATATATAACACACTGGAATATACCACATGGAATACTACTTAGCCATAAAAAGGAACAAAATAATGGCATTCACAGCAACCATTATTCTAAGTGAAGTAACTCAGGATGGTGCTGGGAGAACTGGCTATTTATTAGCAGATAACTGAAACTGGACCCTTTCCTCACACATTCTATAAAAATTAACTCAAGATGATTAAAGACTTAAATGTAAAACCCAAAACTATAAAAACCCTAGAAGAAAATCTAGGCGGTACCACTCAGGACATAGGCACAGGCAAAGATTTCATGATAAAATTGCTAAAAGCAATTGCAACAAAAGAAAAAATTGACAAATGGCATCTAATTAAACTAAAGAGCTTCTGCACAGCAAAAGAAACGATCATCAAAGTGAATAGGCAACCTACAGAGTGGGAGAAAATCTTTGCAATTTTTTTTTTTTTTTGAGATGGAGTCTCACTCTGTCACCCAGGCTGGAGTACAATGGCACAATCTCAGCTTACTGCAACCTCCATCTCTCAGGTTCAAGCGATTCTCCTGCCTCAGCCTCTTAAGTAGCTGCAATTACAGGCACCTGCCATCATGCCCAGCTAATTTTTGTATTTTTATAGAGACGAGGTTTCACCATGTTGGCCAGGATGATCTCAAACTTCTGAACTCAAATGATCCACCCACTTCAGCCTCCCAAAGTGCTGGGATTACAGGCATGAGCCACTGTACCCAGCTGAAAATCTCTGCAATTTATCCATCTCACAGAGGTATAATACCCAGAATCTATAAGGAACTCAAACGAATTTACAAGAAAAAAACCAAACAACCCCATTAAAAAGTAGACAAAGGACATGAACAGACACTTCTCAAAAGAAGACATTCATGCAGCCAACAAACATATGAAAAAAAAGCTCAACATCACTGATCATTAGAGAAATACAAATCAAAACCATAATGAGATACCATCTCATGCCAGTCAGAATGGCCATTATTAAAAAGTCAAGAAACAACAGATGCTGGTGAGGTTGTGGAGAAGGAATGCTCTTACACTGTTGGTGGGAATGTAAATTAGTTAAACCATTGTGGAAGATGGTTTGAAAGAATAATCAGGAAAAATAAAAATTAAGAACACCTGTTTAAAGAAAAAGACATTTTGTGATGATAGAAAGGTTCAACACCGTGCTGTTCAACGGGGCAGTTCTTAGCCATCTATGGTTACTGAGCACTTGAAAAGCGGCTAGTGCAACTGAGGACTGAATTTTTAATTTAATTCCATTTTAATTAGTTTTAATTTTAAAATAGCCATATATGGCTAGTGGCTGGCTTAGTGAACAGCACAGCTCTAGAATCAAAATGAGTGTATCCACAGCCTATTTCCACCACTTTCAAATTATTTAAGCATGACTATATTTCTGACTGCCTCAATTTCTTCACCTATAGGATATGGATGATAGAAATTTTTTACTAATAAGGTTGTTGTGTAATCTCCTCAGAACTATACTTATATATTGATATAATTATTTCACCTTTTATTTAATACTTTGTGTACTTTCTAAATTTTGTACCATAAACGTGTATTTCATTTTTAATTTTTATAAAATATATTTTTTGAAGCTGAAACTTCTCTGGTTATGTACAGTCTTTCTTCCATGAATAGAAAAAAATTCAATTTGAGCCCCGTTTTCCCTCTACCCAGTTACAAGTAAGGCTGACACTATTAAATGGGCAATGGTATAAAGTCAGAAATGGCTGACCTGTGGGTTCCTATGAAGCCTGAGACTTCTCTGGCTTAAGCTCACATTTTTGCAGTGAGCACTACTGGATACCTTCCTGGGCCTCTAAGGCTCCTTAATTCCTTGAGCTATTTTCCTTCCCTTCTCACAGACCTGAGTTGTTCTACCCTTTAGAACTATCACGACCTGCTGTCCTCATGGAACTTGGCATCTAGAGGGGGATAAAGAGAAAACAAGTAATCAATTAAATTTTGTAACAGACGCTATAAATAAAAGAAACAAAGCTGCGGATTTTAAAAAAGGTTGCCAGAAATATTGGTAAGAGAAGGTCTTTCTGAGAAAATAACTGATGGTTAATTTTGTGTACCAGCTTGACTTGGTCACAGGATGCCTACATAGCTAAACATTAGTTCTAGATCTATCTGTAAGGATGTTTCTGGACAAGATTAGCATTTGAATTGCTGAACTGAGTAAAGCAGATGGCCCTCCCCAGTATGAGTGGGCACTCTCCAGTCTGTGAGGACCTGAACATAACAAAAAGGGCAGAGGAAGGTTAAATTAACTCTGCCTGACTACCTGAACTGGAACATCAATCTTCTCTGTCCTCAGTGAATCTGCTTTGCAAGCCTTTAGACCCAGACTATAATCTAGACAATCAGTCCTCTGTCTCTCAGGCCTTTGAACTACACTACCAGTTTTTCTGTCTTCAGCTTATAGAGAGCATACCAAAGGACTCCTCAGCCTCCATCATTTTATGAGCCAATATCATATAATAAATCCCTTCCTTTGTAGGTAGGGAGAGACAGATGCCATGAAGTGAGCCAAAGGCATGGCCTTGCGGATAGAGGAATCAGAATGTGCAAAGACACTAAGTTCAGAAATAACTTGGAATGTGCTAGATAAATAAAGAAAGCCAGTATGACCCAAGAGCAGTGAGTTAGAAAAAGATGGTGTGGGCCATATTTGAATAACTACCAGAAAAGAGCCATATGACACAGGCCAAAGGAAGAACTGGGTTTATTCTAAGGACTATGTCTAGATGGATTATGTAATATAATTCACCGTTTAAGGATTTGCTTTGTAAGAAATGGAAGAATAATGACTGTATAGTCCATCAAGCCCTCCTCTTGTTGGCTATTGTTAAAAATGGCATCAGTGAGGCTGGGCATGGTAGCTCACACCTATAATCCCAACACTTTGGCAGGCTAGAAGTTTGAGAACAGCCTGGGCAACATGCAAGACTTTGTCTCTACAAAAAAAATTTATAAAATAAATTTTTTAAATGGCATAAGAGCTCTTTTCACTTAAGGGGTCATTCCAGTTACCTATTGCTACATGCAAAACACATCAAAACTTAGTAGCTTAAAACTACAGTATATTATTATCTCTCATGGTTCTGGAGTGTTCCTATTTTGGGTCACTTATGCAGTTGCCATCAGATGGTGGCTGGGGCTGCAATTATCTGAAGGCTTGACTGGGCTGGACATTCAAGATGGCTCCCTCCCATGGCTGGCAGTTGATGCTGGCTTTGGGCAGAAAACTCAGCTGGGCTGTCAACTAGCATATCCACCCAGTCTCTTCATCTGGCTAGGGCTGCTTTCATTATGACAGCTGAGTTCCTAATAAGAGCATCAAAATGGAGCATCTTAAGAACAAGTGTTTCAAGAGGTCCAAGTGAAAGCTGCAAGGCTTTTTTTTTTTTTCTTTGACAGAGTTTCATTCTTGTTGCCCAGGCTAGAGTGCAGTGGCACAGATCTTGGCTCACTGCAACCTCCACCTCCTGGGTTCAAGTGATTATCCTGCTAAGTCTCCCAAGTCGCTAGGATTACAAGTGCATGCCACCACACCTGACTAATTTTTGTATTTTTAGCAGAGTCAGGGTTTCACACCATGTTGGCTAGGGTGGTCTTGAACTCCTGACCTCAGGTTATCTTCCTGCCTTGGCCACCCAAACTGCTGGAATTACAGGCATGAGCCACTGTGCCTGGCCTGAAAGCTGCAGTCTTTTCATGATCTAACTTGAAAACATCTTATGATCTAAATTCATAGCATCACCTCTGCCACATTCTGTAGGTCAAAGATCACAAAGGCTAACCCAGATTCAAGGTGAGGCATTATACTTCACCTGTCAATGACAAAACACTGTATTAGCTATCTACTACTGGAAACACACACACACACACACACACACACCTATCCTGACTTTAAACCACATATATTTATTATCTCATAGTTTCCATGGGTCAAGAATCTGGGTCTCTTATGAGCAAGCAACCATGGTATCTGCCAGGGCTGGGGTTTTATCTGGAGGCTCAACTGAGAAAGGATACACTGTTCATTTGAATGGCTATTGGCAGATTTTAGTTCCTTGTGACCTGTTGGAGTGAGGGCCTCATCTTCTTGCTAGCTGTCAAACAAAAGCTTCCCTAAGTTCCTTGCCATGGAGGTCTCTCCATTTAATGATGCCTTACTTCATTAGGGCCAGAAAGGAAGAGAGCCATTAGAGAAATTGGTAGCAAAACAAAAGTTGCAATCTCATTTGCTTCATTCTGCTGGTTAGCTGCAATTCACCAGGCTGGTCCACACTCATGAGTAGGGGATTTCACAAAGATATAAATATCAGGAGTGTGAATCTTTAAGAACCCTTTGGATGTCTGCCCACCACAAGTACAAAAGAATGCAGGCATGTCTTTAATCTCATACAGGAGTTTGATGCTTAAGACTAAAAGGAGACTGACAAATATTTATATATTCAACAATATTTACTGAGTGCCAGCTATGTGCCATCAAGGCATCAGAGCAGGACCAAGAAATATGGGGATGAATAAAACATCACAACTGCCCCCAGGGAGGTCACAGGCCAAAAGAAGAGAAAGACCTTTAAGGAAATTGCAGTGTAATAAATGCGAGAATAAAAACACATGCAGTGGGGCTGGGCACGGAGGCTCACATCTGTAATCTCAGCACTGTGGGAGGCCAAGGCAGGATCACCTGAGCCTGGGAGTTCAAGACCAGCCTGGGCAACATAGCAAGATGCAGTCTCCATAAAAATAAAAATAAAAAACACATGCAATTTGTAGAATGGCAAAGAGGATGATATACAGAAGTCTGTCAGGAAAAGATGAAGCCTAACCAGGGTACTGAGAGGTGAGTGTGAGTTTACGCGTTAAACAAGTTATGCTAAGCAGTAGAACTAGTATTACAATAGAGCAAAATGAGAAACAGGATTGTGTATTTATAGAATGAAACTTTTGGCCTGTCTGGAGAATAAAGTGAAATAAACAGGAAGAACCAAGAGTGGACAATGACCCAAGAAAAGGTGTACAACTAGGGGCCACTTTAAGGTGCATCAATTCTGTAGGTCATGAGGTAAAAGACAGAGTCCTCAGCAGGAGAGAAATATGACACATATGTACTTGAAGCTCATCTCTGTGGGGGTTCCATGGAGAATTAGCTCAAGGGAGGCAAAGGAAGAGGGAGAGTAGACTGTGGGGGCCACTGCAGTAATCTAGTCCAAGTTAACCAGAGTAGAACTAAAAGCACAGCTGTGGGGAATGAAAGGGTAATTATGGATTAAAGGCAGTCATGGGATATAATCAATAGGCTGCAGAAGAGCTTTGGGAAAGAATGAAGCAAGATGGAAGAATCCAGGCTACAGCTGGTTTTGGGACTCAAAGATGTTTGTGGAAGAAGGACTAAAAGAGGCTAAGTTCAGGTCTGGGCACAGAAGGCTGCAGCTGACTGTGAAATACCCAGGTGGAAATGTAAAGCTAGCAGTTTACAACTGAATCTGAAACTCAGGAGAGACATCTGACTGCAACAGATATTTAGGAATCTCCGGTGAGTAGGGAGAAGATGCCTAGAAAGAAGCAGGCAGTAGACTGAGTCCTGAGGGACATAAACATGAAAGGACATAAAAAAGAGGATCCAACCACTGCTGCTAAGAACAAATGTAGAGGATGTGTTCATTTGTTTTGTGTTGCTACAAAGGAATACTTGAGACTGGGTAATTTTTAAAGAAAAAAATGTTTATTTTTGCTCACCATTCTGCAGGCTATACAAGCATAGCACCAGCATCTTCTCCGCTTCTGGTGAGGCATCAGGAAGATTTTACTCATGGCAGAAGGCACAAGGAGAGCAGGCATGTCACATGGAAAGAGAAGGAACAAGAGTGCTTCCAGGCTGTTTTAAACAACCAGCTCTTGCATTTACTATTAGAGCAAGAATTTACTTATTACCACAGGGAGGGCACCAAGCCATTCATGAGGGGTCTGCCCCCATAATCCAAATACCTCCCACAAGGACCCATATCAGGGTCACGACGTGCAGGGGTCTATCCTACAGACTCTGACTCAGCGATGGTTGAATCAATTCACTCAGACACAGATTTACATTGTAAAAGTGGGCTGGGTGGGGCCATTTGCAGGCACTCAAGGAGAGTGCTGTAAACAGATAGCAGCTGCTGGCCTGACTAGCCAGTGAGACTTGCATTTATTCAGTAAAGTTTAATTGACAAAGACTTGAGTCAAGACCACTAAAGGGTAATTGACATTGAGGACTTCCCAGAGTAGAAAGCAATTAAGCACCCATGGCAAATCAAAGGTCACTTTTAGAATCACATAAATAAACAAGCTAGCTAGATAAACACTTCTACATTCCTTTGTATTTGGGTCCTAATCTCTCTGGCTTCTGCAAAGAGACTCTGGCTGCCTTCAGCCAGATTTATTGCTGGAGCTTATGCAAACCCCCCAGGCCTTCCAAGAGGGTTTGTGGCTACTATAACTAAAATTTTTCTCACCAGCCTGAGTGAATCCCCACAGACCCACTTCCAACATTGGGGATCACATATCAACATGAGATTTGGAGAGGACAAAAATCAAAATGATGTCATTCTGCCCTAGCCCCCCAAATGTCATGTCCTTCTCACATTGTAAAATATAATCATACCTTCCCAATATTCCCCCAAAGTCTTAACTCAATGCAGCATTAACTCAAAAGCCCCAAGTCCAAAGTCCAAAGACTCATCTAAGACTCAAGGCAAGTTCCTTCCACCTATAAACCTGTAAGATCAAAAACAAGTTACAATGTGGAACAATAAACAACATGGAACAGGCATTGGGTAAATACTCTCTTTCTGAAAGAGAATTGGCCAAAAGAAAGGGGCCAGAGGCCCCATGCAAGATGAGATCTCCCTATATAGCCCAGGCTGGCCTCAAACTCCTGTGCTCAAGCAATCCTCCCACTTCAGCTTTCCAAAGTGCTAGGATTACAAGCATGAGCCACTGTGCCTGGCAAGTGTTCTTTATATATTTGAGATAATAAACTCCTATCAGATATATGATTTGCAAGTATTTTGTTCCATTATTTGGGTTGTCTTTTCACTTTTGTGATGATGTCCTTTGATGCACAAAAGGTTTACATCTGATGAATCTTAAATGTAGCTGATTTAAAAATTATTTTAAATTATTTTTACTTAGCATGTTGGCTCAGGCCCATAATCCTAGCATTTTGGGAGGCCAAGGCAGGAGAATCCCTTGAGCCCAGGACCAGCCTGTACAACATAAGACCCTGTCTCTAAAAAGAAAGTAATAATAATAATAATTTTTAAAAGGTTTATATTTTGATAAAGTAAGCTTACCTGTTTCTTCTTTGGTTGCTCATTCTTTGGTGTCATAGCTAAGAACCATTTCCTAATCCAAGGTATTGAAAATTTACACTTATGTTTTCTTCTACATAAAGTCTTACAAATGCCTTGCATGGCAAGTGCATAATAAAGGCTTGTTAAATTTTGAATGAAATATCAATAAATGGAGGGGGTGGCAGTTAGAAAAACTAATGTAGGCCGGGCATGGTGGCTCACACCAATAACCCTATCACTTTGGGAGGCCAAGTCAGGCAAATCACCCGAGGTCAGGAGTTCAAGACCAACCTGGCCAACATGGTGAAACTCTGCCTCTACTAAAAGTACAAAAATTAGCCAGCTGTGATGGCAGGCACCTGCAATCCCAGTTACTCAGGAGGCTGAGGCAAGAGAATCACTTGAACCTGGGAGGCAAGGTTGCAATAATCCAAGATGGCACCACTGCACTCCAACCTGGGTGACAGAGCAAAACTCTGTCTAAAAAAAAAAAAGAAAGAAAGAAAAGAAAAAAGAAAAATTAATGTAATTTTTTTTCTTAAAATGTTTGTGGGTGGAAGCAGTGGCTCAGGCCTGCAATCCCAGCACTTTGGAAGGCCAGTCATCTGAGGTCAGTAGTTCAAGACCAACCTGGCCAACATGTTGAAATCCCGTCTCTACTAAAAATACAAAAATTAGCCAGACGTGGTGGTGGGCGCCTGTAATCCCAGTGACTCCAGAGGCTGAGACAGGAGAATCACTGGAACCCAGGAGGTGAAGGTTGCAGTGAGCCAAGATCACACCATCGCACTCCTATATGGGTGACAAGTGTTCAAGATCACCTGGGCATCATGATGAAACCCCATCTCTACAGAAAAAAATGCAATAATGAGCCTGGTGTGGTGGTTCACACCTGTAGCCCCAGCTGGGACTACAGCTGGGAGGCTGAAGTGAAAGGATCACTTGAGTCTGGGAGGTGGATGCCACAGTGAGCTGTGATCATGTCACTGCACTCCAGCCTGGGCAACAGAGCAAGACCCAGTCTCCAAAAAAAAAAAAAGTTTGAATCTATGGAAAACTAAACAAAGTAAAAAAAGTATGAATCTGACTGGGTGCAGTAGCACTTTGGGAGGCTGAGGTGGGTAGATTGCTTGAGGCCAGGAGTTCAAAACCAACCTGGCCAGCATAGCAACCACCCCTGCGACTAAAATTAAAAAAAAAAAGGGTGTGGTGGCTTGTGCCTGTAATACCAGCTACTCAAGAAGCTGAGGCAGGAGAATCACTTGAACCCAGTAAGCAGGGGTTGCACTGAGCCAAGATCATACCACTGCACTCCATTCTGGATGACAGGGCAAGACTTTGACTCAAAAAACAAAAAACTCTTTTTAAAAAAAGTGTGATTCTGTAGAGGGGAACATTTTTATCTTGATTTCCTTTTTTGGGGAGGGAGGGGCAAAGCTTCCTTAAATCATAGGTTCATCTTGATTTTTTTTTTTTTTTTTTTTTGAGATAGAGTCTCACTCCATTGCCCAGGCTGGAGTGCAGTGACACCATCTTGGCTCACTGCAACCTCCACCTCGTGGGTCCAAACAATTCTCCTGCCTTATCCTCCCTAGTAGCTGGGATTATAGGCATGTGCCACTACACCCAGCTAATTTTTGTATTTTGACTTTTTAAATCTGCAAAAGACCTGCAACTAATACCATATGTAATGGTAAAAAACTAGATGCTTTTTCACTAAGATCAGGAAGAAGGCAAGGATATTCCCTCCCACTACTTTTTTTCCACATCATACTGAAAGTCCTAGCTGATACAGTAAGACAAGGAAAGCAAGTAAAAAGTATACAGATTACAAAGGAAGCAATAAAGCTGTTTGTTCACATGTGATATGATTGTCTATAGAAAACAAAGAACTGACAAAAGAAAAAACTCCTGGAATCAATAAGCAATAACATCAAGGTTCAGGATATTAGGTTAATATCTAAAGTCTATTGTTTTCCTATATGCCAGAAATTAAAAACTAGATTTTAAAATTAAGAACATAATATACTAACACCAAAAGAATAAAATAGGTACAAATCTAACAAAATATATGCAAGAGCTGTATGAAGAAAACTTTTAAAAACTGATTAAATAAATCAAAGAACTAAATAAAAAGGTATACCATGTTCATGGATAGGAAAAGTCAATATTGCTGTCAGTTCTGCACAACTTGATATATAGATTCCAATCCAAGTCCTAGCAAGTTGTTTTTGTGAAAATTGACACATCAATTCTACAGCTCATATAGCAAACCAAAAGACTCAGAGAAGCCAATACAATATTGGAAGATTAGAACAAAGTCAGAGGACTGACACCACCTAACTTTAAGTCTTACCATAATTGAGCTACAATAACTTTGAGCTACAGGAATCAGTGTGTTATTGGTGAAATAACAGACAAAGAGATAAGTGCAACAGAATAGAGAACCCAAAAACAGACTTATACATATATAGTCATCTCATCTTTGACAAACAAGTAAAAGTAATACAACAGAGCAAATGGAGTCTTATCAGATGGTGCTGAAACAATTGGATGTCCACACACTTAAAAAGTATACCTAGACACAAGCTTTATTCCCTTCACAAATTTAAGTCAAAATGGATCATAGCCTTAAATGTAAAATGCCAAACTACAAAATTCATACAAGATAACAGAAGAATATCTAGATAAGTTTTGGCAATGACATTTTAGATACAACACTAAAGACATGAAAGAAAAAAGTGACAAGTTGGAATTTATTAAAATTTAAAACTTCTGCTTTGCAAAAGACACCATCAGTAAAAAGACAAGTTATGGACTGGGAGAAAGTATTTGCAAAGGACATATTTGATAAAACATTCAAAGAACTCTTCAAACTCAACAGTAAGATAATGAACCAACTGATTAAAAGCTGGCCAAAAATCTTAATAAACATTTTTTTCAAGATATACAGCTGGAAAATAAGCATAAGAAATACGTCTAACATCTTATGTTATTAAGGAATGCAAATTAAAGCAACAATGACATACCACTACATTTCAATTAGAATGGCTAACATCCAGCACTAAATGCTGACAAGGATGTGGGACAATAGGAACTCTCAATCATTGCTGGTGGGATTGCAAAATGGCTCAGCCACTTTGAAAACAGGGCTGGTTGGGCACAGTGGCTCACACCTGTAATCCCAGCACTTTGGGAGGCTGAGGCAGGCAGATCACAAAGTCAGAAGTTTGAAACAAGCCTGGCCAATATGGTGAAACCCATCTCTACTAAAAATGCAAAAATTAGCCAGGCACACATTACAGGTGTGTGATGGCACACACCTGTAATCCCCACTACTCAGTAGACTGAGAGAGGAGAATCACTTGGACCTGGGAGGCAGAGCTTGTAGTGAGCCAAGATCGTGCCACTGCACTCCAGCTTGGACAACAGAGCAAGACTCCATTCAAAAAAAAAAGAAAGAAAGAAAAAAAGGAAAGAAAAACAGTTTGTCAGTTTCTTAAAAAACTAAGCATTCTCTTATCAGACAATGCAATAATTGTGTTCCTTGATATTTATCTAAATCAATTGAAAACTTTTGTCTATACAAAAAAATGTGTGCACACGAATGTTTATGGCAGTTTTATTCATAATTTCCAAAACTGGGAAGCAACTAAAGCAAATGAATAAAAAAACAAGTTGTGATACATCCAAACAATGTAATATTATTTAGCAATAAGAAGAAATGAGCTGTGTAGCTGCAAAAAGAAATGGAGGAATCTTAAATGCGTGTTGTTAACAGAAAGAAATCAATCTGAAAGGTTGCATACTGTATGACCCCAACTATATGACATTCTGAAAAAGATAGAACTGTGAAGACAGCGAAAAGATCAGACCAGTAACTTCCAGAGATCTGGGGAGAGGGAGGAATGACTATCTGGAGCTACAGGATTTTTATGGCAGCAAAACCATTTTGTATGATACTAAACATTATACATTTATCAAAACACACAGAATGTACAACACAAAGCATGAACCTTAAGGAAACTATGAACTTTAATTGATAATGATGTCTCAATGTTGATTCATCATTTGTAAAAAATGTGCCACACTGGTGGGGAATATTGACAATGGGGCGACATGATGTGTGTGTATTGTGTGAGGAAGGTGACTATGTGGGAACTGTACTTTCTGTTCAACTTTGCTGTTAGTCTAAAACTTTTCTAACAATTAAAATCTGCTAAGCAATGTGTGCCTAAGTCATCATCAAAGTATTTTTTAGAGCTGGCCATAGCGATGCTCACCTCTAGTCCCGGCTACTCCGGCAGCTGAGGCAGAGGATCGCTTGAGGTCAGGAGGCTGCAGTGCACTAATATCCTGCCTGTGAATAGCTGCTGCATTCCAGCCTGGGCAATATTGCAAGACCTCATCCCTAAATTTTTTTTTAATATTTTTAGACTCAAGCAGGTGCAAGGACTTACGGGCAAAGCAAGCCCCATCTCAGCTGTCCACAGCACAAAATAGAGGTTACCCTAGAGCATGTCCTCACAGTCCAAAGGGGACTTTCTTCTTTTGTTTATTTTTACCAGTTTGTAGGGGAAACATTTAGTTCCTAGGAGGCCAAGGGACAAAGTCAGCTAAATAGCTGTGAGCCAGCTTCCTGGGGAGCTTTCCAAAAGCATGGCAGCATTCAGCCTTCTTGTTCCCAGGGGTGCTACCAATATCATGCTATTGTCATGAGTGCTAGACATAGAACACACCTGTGGTCACCAGCCTCTTGCTATTTTTTTCTACTTGGTTTTTCACCTGCTCTAGCCTACTGTGAACATTTTCCTGCTTGATTTTCTGTCTTTTAGTCCTTCCAGAGCACTCGACACACACAACATGAAAACATGCTGTCATCTACCCTTCCCAAGTCTCTCAAGGTCAGTGGTTCTCAATCTCAGCCACACTCTGCAACCTGGGGAAGACTAGTTGCAGGGCTCATGCCTGGTATCCCAGCACTTCGGGAAGCTGAGATGGGAGAATCTCTTGCGCCCAGGAGTTCAAGAACAGCCTGGGCAACATAATGAGACCAGTCTCTACAAATAAAAAAACAAAAAAATTACTCAGGCATGGTGGAAAGCCTGTAGTCCTAGCTACTCAGAGGCAGAGACAGGAGGATCACTTGATCCCAGGAGTTTGAAGCTATAGTGAGCCTTGATCACACCACTGCTCTCCAGCCTGGAGAACACAGTGAGAAACTGTCTCAAAAAAAAAAACAAAAAATCTGGGGAGACTGAAAAAAGCATAGTATCTGTGACCCACCTCCTGAAATTCTGATTTAATTGATCTAGGCATGGGTGGTTTCCCAACCTTCCTAGATGATTCTAATATGCAGCTAATGTTGCAAATTACTGATCTCAGAGTCATTGACATTCCCACCGACTCTAG